TGGAATTCGCTTTCCAGGCAGGAAAATGTGTGTCTGCAGAGATCTGCACCCATGTAGCCTCATTGTGCGTAATTACCTACATGCTGAATTTGCACCATTTCCTACAGAAACGGACTTCCATGTAAGTCTCCTAGTCTCAGTGAGTGCTGCTCTTCAACACCAAGGCCATTGGAGATGACTGCGTTTTGAATGAAATTCTGTTCCACAAATGGCAACACATCGTGCCACCATAAGATGCGCCGCTCTGTACATGCAGCTATAATAGGAATGCATTTAATAGGCATGCATTTTAGTATCTAAAATACTGTACTAAAATCTGACGCAACTGGGACAGCTATTTCATCTTCCCTCTGCCACTGGTGGCTTTCCACTCCTCATCCGTTCTGCTTTCAAGTAGCCCAGCCCCACCATCGCTACCGGATCTCTCACTTCCTCGACTGGCTGATGCAACATGTGTGCGAAGTAACAGCAGCAGAAACAGCAGCAAGAGAGGCAGTGAAGGGCAAATATTTACATGGACAGAATACAGGATCTTGAAGTATTAACTCATGGCCCTGCTGCATGACGATCTACACTACTGCATAATAGAAAAAATAATTAAGGGACCCCTGGATGGTTAAGTCCAGTCAAAGGCGATTATGGGGTTGCGGCGCTCATCTCGCTTTCAGGCCGAGGGAGCCGGCGTTTGTCCACAGACAGCTTTCCGGGTTATCTGGCCGGCATGACTAAACCGCTCTGAGTTCCTTGCAGGAAGGAGGGTACCGTAGCTCAGAGCACCTGCTGTGCAGAAGGTCCCAGCTTCAACCCCTGGCGACACTGGATAGGGCAGGGAATGCTTCCTGCTGCTCCCAGTCAATGCAGATAATACTGAGCTTAAAAGATAAAGGTAAAGGTACCCCTGCCCATACGGGCCAGTCTTGCCAGACTCTGGGGTTGTGTGCCCATCTCACTCAAGAGGCCGGGGGCCAGCGCTGTCCGGAGACACTTCCGGGTCACGTGGCCAGCATGACATCGCTGCTCTGGCGAGCCAGAGCCGCACACGGGAACGCCGTTTACCTTCCCGCTTGTAAGCGGTCCCTATTTATCTACTTGCACCCGGGGGTGCTTTCGCACTGCTAGGTTGGCAGGCGCTGGGACCGAACGACGGGAGCGCACCCCGCCGCGGGGATTCGAACCGCCAACCTTTCGATCGGCAAGCCCTAGGCGCTGAGGCTTTTACCCACAGCGCCACCCGCGACCCCCAATACTGAGCTTAATGGACTCTATATAAGGAAGTTTCCTATGCTCCTATAGCAGGAGTAGGCAACCTAAGGCCCCGGGGGCCGGATGCGGCCCAATCACCTTCTCAATCCTGCCTGCAGACGGTGCGGCAATCAGTGTGTTTTTACATGAGCAGAATGTGTGCTTTTATTTAAAATGCATCTCTGGGTTATTTGTGGGGCATAGGAATTCGTTCATTTTTTTTCTTTCCAAAATATAGTCCGGCCCCCCACATGGTCTGGTGGACCGGTCCACGGCTGAAAAAGTTTGCTGACCTATGGTAACAAGATGGCTACTAGCCACGATGGCTGTGATCTGCCGCCATAGCTGGAGGCAGAAAAGCTTCTCAATCCCAGTTGCTTCCTCCCCTTTTGTCTTAGTTTTGCCCTTGTGCTCAGCAGGGAGGGAGAGTTAGGTGGCTCCACCCTACCATTGACTCTGGCCCTGCCTGTCATTGACTCCAGCTCTGCTTGCTGTTAGCCTCTCTCTGCTTTCCACCTTACCTGTTCCAATGGGCACTAAGCCGCCGCTTGCACAGCCCGCAGCCTCTGCAGTAGCAGCAGACAGAGGCAGGTACTTCGCTGCGCACCCTGCAAACTGAGCCCAGCGCCTGGCCCCTTTATCAGGCAGATAAATGCGTGTGCAATGGAAAACCGAGACCCCGCGGAGGAAAGCGCCAAGGTGACGAACATCTTTTCTGCAGCTCGGAGCCAAAGTCAAACAAAGTCAAAGACAAAAGAACCTGAGTCATTATGAAAACAAAGGCAACTGAGCAAACAGTGTGCAGTGCGCAGGAGACTGACATTTTTACACCAGAGCAGTAGAGAGGTCAAGGCAGCTCAGCTGCAACATGTTGAGCATGTGTTTGTAGGAAGCCACCAGAGGAAGGAAGCTGGGCAAAGTTCCCCCTCTTCCCTGTTGGTTCGGTAGCGTTATCAGTGGTGGAGAAAAGCTCTTGGGGCACATTTGCACCATACGATTAAAGCACATTTACGCCGCTTTAGACAGTCATGGCGTCCCCCAAAGAATCTTGGGAGCTGTCATTTGCTAAAGGGTTGTTAGGGAGACCCTCACAGAGCTGCAATTCCCAGAGTTCCCTGGAAAGAGGAACTCCCTGTCCAAACACTCTGCCCAAAGAGAACCATATAATTTGTTGTTGTTGTTTAGTTGTTTAGTCGTGTCCAACTCTTCATGACCCCATAGACCAGAGCATGTCAGGCACTCCTGTCTTCCACTGCCTCCCACAGTTTGGTCAAACTCATGCTGGTAGCTTTGAGAACACCGTCCAACCATCTCGTCCTCTGTCGTCCCCTTCTCCTTGTGCCCTCCATCTTTCCCAACATCAGGGTCTTTTCCAGGGAGTCTTCTCTTCTCATGAGGTGGCCAAAGTCTTGGAGCCTCAGCTTCAGGATCTGTCCTTCCAGTGAGCACTCAGGGCTGATTTCCTTCAGAATGGAGAGGTTTGATCTTCTTGACAGCCAAGGGACTCTCAAGAGTCTCCTCCAGACCGTAATTCAAAAGCATCCGTTCTTCGGCGATCAGCCTTCTTTATGGTCCAGCTCTCACTTCCATACATCACTACTGGGAAAACCATAGCTTTAACTATACGGACCTTTGTTGGCAAGGTGATGCCTCTACTTTTTAATTATCATATAATAGGGCCTGCCAAATATAAATAATTAGAAGTCACTTGAAAGCACCAAATAGGCCTAGGATTAAATTAGGATTTAATTGTAAGTAAGTTGGATTTGGGACGCGGGTGGCGCTGTGGGTTAAACCACAGAGCCTAGGACTTGCCGATCAGAAGGTTGGCGGTTCGAACCCCCGCGACGGGATGAGCTCCTGTTGCTCGGTCCCTGCTCCTGCCAACCTAGCAGTTCGAAAGCATGTCAAAGTGCAAGTAGATAAATAGGTACCACTCCATTGGGAAGGTAAACGGCGTTTCCATGTGCTGCTCTGGTTTCCAGAAGCGGCTTAGTCATGCTGGCCACATGACCCGGAAGCTGTACGCCGGCTCCCTCGGCCAATAAAGCGAGAAGAGCGCCACAACCCTAGAGTCGGCCACGACTGGACCTAATGGTCAGGGGTTCCTTTATCTTTAAGTTGGATTTAGAACAGTAAGAAAGGAGAATAAGATAGTTAATTGCTGGAAATAATTTTAGTTTAAGAATGATATTGGAGAGCTGTTACATGTAGATACAATGAAATTCAGAAGGGAGGGATCTGAGGAAGTCAATTAACAATGTAAGAGAAATTGGGTTTTTAAGGGATATGTGTTTAAGATGTCTTTTTTGTTTTTCTTCTTTAGTATTGTATCGTGTTTTCTTCTGTGTGTTTTCTTCCCTTTTTCTATGTTATCTTTGTTATAATTGTGGAAAATTTAATATATATATTTTGAAAAATAATAATAATAGGGTCTGCCAGGAAGGTAGCAAATTTCCACCTGCTATTTTTGCAGGAAGCAATCAAACCAGGAGCTCTGTGCAGCGCCACTTGAGGTGGACGTCAAGGGCTGGTGATCTGCACTTGCTTTGGGCGGGTGGTTCCCCGGTTAGGGAAGGAGGGAGGGAGGAAGCCAGGAAGCCCTGACCCAGGCTGCTTAAAAGCTACATTATTGTGATGGTTGAAGGGAAAGGAAGGGACAGCACAGGAGGGAAAGAAAGAAGAGAGTAAGAAACATGGTCAAAGTCATCCTCAACAAGGATTTGTTTTTGTTTTTTTAATTTATTTAAAAAATAATAATAATAACAATAATAACATAATTTGACAATTCAGATTTGAGTACTGATATACCTATGACTACACCTTTTTAACAATGTTTCCCCACCTCTCTCTCCTCCACCCACTTCCCCCCACTATTCGCCTTATCGCTTAAATACTCATTCCAGATTTCTTCATATTTATCCATTCTTAATTTGCGTCGATTAGGGACGCAAATAATTAATTAGATAATTAGATAATTAGGGACGTGGGTGGCGCTGTGGGTAAAACCTCAGCGCCTAGGACTTGCCGATCGCATGGTTGGCGGTTCGAATCCCTGCGGCGGGGTGCGCTCCTGTCGTTCGGTCCCAGCGCCTGCCAACCTAGCAGTTCGAAAGCACCCCCAGGTGCAAGTAGATAAATAGGGACCGCTTACCAGCGGGAAGGTAAACGGCGTTTCCGTGTGCTGCGCTGGTGCTGGCTAGCCAGAGCAGCTTCGTCACGCTGGCCACGTCACCCGGAAGTGTCTGCGGACAGCGCTGGCTCCCGGCCTCTAGAGTGAGATGGGCGCACAACCCTAGAGTCTGTCAAGACTGGCCCGTACGGGCAGGGGTACCTTTACCTTAATTTGCGTCGACATGCAATTCGTTCGTATGTAGCTAATCTGTCCATATTATCAATCCATGTGCTGAATGGAATCTTTTTGCAGCTCTTCCAATTCATCAAAACAAGTTTTTTTGCTTCTAATATAGCACGGCACATTTTTTTTTACCCCTTGAAATCTCCCACGTTTCCGGAATATAATTTAGAATTAAATTCAATTCCCTTAAATAACCATTTCTTTTTATTACTCTTGCTATAAATATCCTCGCACCAAAATGATCATATCATTGGGCAGTTAATCATCATATGTACTAAGTTCGCATTTTCACTCCCACATCTCCAGCAGTTGTCTGCACTTGTTATTCTCTTCAACAAGGATTTGTTATTTGCTTCAGTTCTACTGGGGGTTCGGCCAACAGGAGTCATCCTGTGCTTACCCATGCTGGCCGTTGTGGAAACTCTAATATATACCGTATTTTTCGCTCGATAAGACGCACCAGACCACAAGACGCACCTAGTTTTTGGAGGAGGAAAACAAGAACAAAAATATTCTGAATCTCAGAAGCCAGAACATCAAGAGGGATCGCTGCGCAGTGAAAGCAGCAATCCCTCTTGCTGTTCTGGCTTCTGGGATACCTGCGCAGCCTGCATTCACTCCATAAGACGCACACACACATTTCCCCTTACTTTTTAGGAAGGAAAAAGTGAGTCTTATAGAGCAAAAAATACGGTAGCATGTGGGGCACACAAGTTTGCTGTTCTTGCTCGGAATGGGACAGGAACCCTGCACGCGCTCAGAAGCATGCCTTCAACGTGATCCAGAGCTGACGCTTCCTTCAAAATTAAGCCCTGAATGGAGCTCTTATATTCTTAATTGTATCAGCGCCCGTTCCAAGGCCTCCCAGACACTTAGGTCCTGTGGATCGTTATCCACCTCTTTCACCCCACCGCTCAGAAGCGCTGCAAGTCACAGCTTGGCAAGCAGGGCATGATGAGACTGATGTTCTCAAGTGATAAAGGATCCTCAGCGCCCGTGTTTTTCAAGAGGAATCTTGCAAGAGCAAGCACCCTAGCATAATAGCTTTATAAGAGAGGGGCAAAACATACAGTTGAGGTGATGATGAAAGGGCATGTCTGAGATTTAATTTCCTCTATCTCTCCATCCCTGTGGGTGCCATAGCACTGGGAAGGCAGAAGGCCAGGAAGAACAAGAATCAGTTGCAGAAGGAGAGGCGTCCTATCAGGGAAGGAGCTTTGCCACTGTTGTGTGACTAGTGGTGGGCACCCCCCTCCCAAAAAAAACGCCTGTCCTGTTTAAACAAGGCATAATTGAGATGAATGTTCTTCTTGCGGAGAAAATTTCCTTGTCCCCGGAGCTAGGGCAGAGCCGGTAATTATGAAGCTATGGTGTAATTATCGTGAGAATGTGGGCAATTAGGCAAGCGCAGGCCTTTCTGGAGCTCCTGACATTCACGCCTCGACGGAATGATCTGGCAAGGCTGACCATGGCCTGGGGAGAAGATGTCCCAAATAAACCTCTCCTCCTCCTCCTCCTCCTCCTCTTCCTCTTCCTCTCTCTGCTTGAATTAATGCTTCACATTTCAGGGCTCTTCCAACAATGCCCTTTAAATGCTCAGCAGGTGAATCAGGAGAGAAGGAGATCCAGCCAGTACCAAAGCCTGGCGTCTCCTTGAGCTAAATGTGAAAAAAAAATCCCATCCAGGCATCCTTTCTCTTGGGCCTTCATGATGACGTGTTCATGATCGTGTTCCGTATGCTATATGCAGTCTCACTTTCTATCCTCTTTGCACCTGCAAAAGTTTCCAACGAGTGTGTGCCCTGCGACTTCCTCCTGAAACTTTTTATACTATAAATCAGGCTTCCTCAACCTCGGACCTCCAGATGTTTTGAGACTATAATTCCCATCATCCCTGACCACTGGTCCTGCTAGCTAGGGATCATGGGAGTTGTAGGCCAAAAACATCTGGAGGGCCAAGGCTGAGGAAGCCTTATATAAATATTCCCGGGGTTTTCTTGGTCTTGCCAGTGTGGTGTAGTGGTTAAGAGCGGTAGTCTCGTAATCTGGGGAACCGGGTTCGCGTCTCCGCTCCTCCACATGCAGCTGCTGGGTGACCTTGGGCTAGTCACACTTCTTTGAAGTCTCTCAGCCCCACTCACCTCACAGAGTGTTTGTTGTGGGGGAGGAAGGGAAAGGAGAATGTTAGCAACTTTAAGACTCCTTCGGGTAGTGATAAAGCGGGATATCAAATCCAAACTCCTCTCTCTCCTCTTCTTGCTTTTGTTGTGCTGTAGTGCAAGAGTGCTCCTCTGGATGGCAATAATGCAGTAACACTGGTGAAGCATTGAAGAACAGCTAATGATGTGTGGACGGTCCAGCACAAGCACCCCTAAACTCGGCCCTCCAGATGTTTGGGGACTACAATAATAATAATAATTTATTATTTGTACCCCGCCCATCTGGCTGGGCTTCCCCAGCCACTCTGGGCGGCTTCCCAAAAAAATATTAAAATACTCTAATACATCAAACATTAAAAGCTTCCCTGAACAGGGCTGCCTTCAGATGTCTTCTAAAAGTCTGGTAGTTGTTGTTCTCCTTGACATCTGGTGGGAGGGCATTCCTCAGGCCGGGCGCCACTACCGAGAAGGCCCTCTGCCTGGTTCCCTGTAACTTGGCTTCTCGCAGTGAGGGAACCGCCAGAAGGCCCTCGGCGCTAGACCTCAGTGTCCAGGTAGAACGATGGGGGTGGAGACGCTCCTTCAGGTATACAGGACCGAGGCCGTTTAGGGCTTTAAAGGTCAGCACCAACACTTTGTATTGTGCTCGGAAAAGTACTGGGAGCCAAAGTAGGTCTTTCAAGACCAGTGTTATGTGGTCTCGGTGGCCGCTCCCAGTAACCAGTCTAGCTGCCGCGTTCTGGATTAGTTGTAGTTTCCGGGTCACCTTCAAAGGTAGCCCCACGTAGAGCGCATGGCAGTAGTCCAAGCGGGAGATAACCAGAGCATGCACCACTCTGCACAACTCCCATGATGATCCCTAGCTAACAGGACCAGTGGTCAGGGGTGATGGGAATTGTAGTCCCAAAATCATCTGGAGGGCTGAGTTTGGGGATGCCTGGTCCAGCATAATGACATGTTGCATAACGCACCCACCCAAAAATTCACCAATCTGGAGGGAACCAAAACCATATTTTCTTAACAGAAGACCATCCCTGCTCAATCAGGCCAATGGCCCAAGTAGTCCAGGATCCTGCTCTCAGTGTGGCCAACCAGGTGCCTGGATTTAGCACAAGAGACCTCTTTGCAAGATCAGAAGCTGCCATGCTGGGGAACTCCTTCTGGAGAGAATAACGAAGGCACTTGTAAGCCTCTTAACGTGTCGCTTAATGAGGTATGAGGTTGCCAGTTCACCCTTCCAATTTCTCATTTACAGGCTGGGGTTCACAAGGTCCAGTGTCTTCTGTGAGTGACCCTGGATTTGGCCAAGCCTGGAGGACAGAAAAGGTCGCCGTGCAAAAGCTACGTGCGTGGAATACATCCACCTGGCAAGGGCTCTGCAGCTTTTAATTAACAAGCAACGGATGTTTCTCGTTAATAACAAATCAGAAGGCTGACCTGTCGGTGTTCTGCGAGGCCGTTTTCAGAAAGTGCACCCAGCACACCCCACCGTTCTGTGATAATTTTTCGCAGGATTAAGGGGAGGAGACTTGCTGACTGAAGACATAGTTCATCTATACTGCTGAGAGAGCAGGAATCCCAGAACCAAACGACATTTTCTTCTGCAGGAAAATGGGGCAGAGTGGAAAAGAGAGATGGAATAACGCTACCAGAAAAGCTTCTCACTCCTCTTCCCTTGGGAGGTGCCCACAGGAAGAAGAAGAAGAAGAGTTTGGATTTGATATCCCGCTTTCTCACTACCCTAAGGAGTCTCAAAGCGGCTAACAATCTCCTTTCCCTTCCTTCCCCACAACAAACACTCTGTGAGGTGAGTGAGGCTGAGAGACTTCAGAGACCTAGCCCTAGGTCACCCAGCAGCTGCATGTGGAGGAGCGGGGAAGCGAACCCAGTTCACCAGATTACGAGTCCACCGCTCTTAACCACTACACCACACTGGCTCTCAAGGGGGCTGCCTCTTGGGCTTCCGCTGTCTTAGATGGCTGCCTTAGGTAGCCCGGCCACGACTGTAGTCCCAACACATCTGGAGGGTACCACATTGGCTAACCCTGACTTGAGGCATATCCAGGTCAAATTATTTCATTTGAATGCTAGTTTAATGTAATGTGGTGAAGGCTCTAAAAAGAGACACTAATGCTTCCTCCTTGAAATATGGTTCCCAGAATTTCCTAGGGAGAGGAATGCTTATTAATTCAGTTTAGATGTGTACTTTAGACATGGCCATATGTGTTGGAACCCAGGATCTGTAATATTCACGATGCTGCTGCTGTCCCTCTCTTCTGCCAGCCAGCGGTGTAGCGTGGGTTGTCAGCACCCGGGGCAAGGCAAGTAATTTGCGCCCCCTAACCCGGGGCAAGGCAAGTAATTTGCGCCCCCTAACCCCTAACCTGCCGCCGCTGCCAGCTTCTTCTTGCTGCTGCCTGGGCTGGGGTATTTACAGTAAGGTAGCCACGGCAGCAGCGGTGGGTCCGTGTCAGGTGATCTGAGGCGAGTTGCCGCTGGCGCTGCCGCCCAAACGACGCCGCTTGCCCGGAGGAGGAGGGCAGAGAGGCGAGTAAAATGCAACATGGCCCAGCAGCTGCAGCAGCGGCGGCGGCGGGGCTGTGAGGAGGGGCTGCCTGGTGCGCCCTCCGCGGCCCTGACGCGCGGGGAGCGCTGAGAGCCGCTGCCAGCTCATCGGTTCCGCGAGACATGGGGCTCTGCTACAGCCTGCGCCCGAGGCTCTTTGGCGACTCCGGAGGCGGCGAGCGCGCCCCCCCCAGATGTTGTGCCTGGTGCGGCCGGCCCCCCCTGCACCCCCCACGCTACGCCACTGCTGCCAGCTCTTCATCACTCCTCTAAACAGTTGCTTCTCAGTCTCCCCAATTGCTCATGTTTTTCTCCAGAACTCACAGGTGCGTTCCTTTCCGATGGCCTCAACAATTCAAAATGGGAATTTTTTTGAGAAGAATGCAGAACTGAAAGCTGTCATTGGAGGTTTCAGCCTGGGTTGACAGAAGGGAGGTTATTGCAGCCTTGTGCTCTTGGGGAGTATTTTCCAGCACCTCTTGCTGAGTTCACAAGTAAACTCCTCTTCGGAAGGATATAGATAACCAAGAAGCCAGGGTCTAAGATTACCAGCTATATAAAGGAGGTGGTTGCATAATATGTGGAAGGGAAATGAAGTCCTAGCCGAAGCACATGGCTTCAATATGATTTAACCTGTGCAAGATGTATATAGGGAATTAGAATTATTATTTTTTAGTTTTACTATATACAGTGGTACCTCGGGTTACAGACGATTCAGGTTACATACGCTTCAGGTTACAGACTCCGCTAACCCAGAAATAGTGCTTCAGGTTAAGAACTTTGCTTCAGGGTGAGAACAGAAATCGTGGTCCGGCAGCACGGCAGCAACAGGAGACCCCATTAGCTAAAGTGGTGCTTCAGGTTAAGAACAGTTTCAGGTTAAGTACGGACCTCGGAACGAATTAAGTACTTAACCCGAGGTACCACTGTATATGCCAAGTATGTATGCAAATAATTTTTCAGAAAGGGAGCAGGTAGAAAATAGATTATACAATGTTTAGCACAGTACTTCCTGACAAACTCATCCATATGATTCAATCTTGTTCCGCTACAACAATAAGAGTCTCTAACAATCCATAAATGTGTGTGGTTTCCGCCCCCAATGAGAATTTATAATAAGAAATTTCATAAGCATCGCTATGATGCTAGATGGCAGCCTATCAAAAAGTTTCGGCCCATTTTGGTTCCTGATTGGCTAGAACTCCACTGGCAGTTAGGTTCCACCTCCTACACTATACACCTCTTCACAGAACTACAAGTCCCAGAGTGAAACCACTCTGGGAATTGTAGCTCTGTGAGGAGGGGGAGGGAGTCTCCTTTCAACTCTCAGCACCCTTAATAAACTACATTTCCCAGGATTCTCTGGGGTGGGGAGAGCCGCAACTGTTTAAAGTGGCACGATGGGGCCTTCATGTGCTTTTGTGCATCTCCTATAAATTTCATATCAGTGGGCTTTGCACTTTGTGGGATGGTACACGCCCCGTATGCCTGTTGTCTTTGTCCATGGAGTTTTCTTGGCAGGGATACTGGAGTGGCTTGCCGGTTCCTGCTCCAGGTGGATCACGTTTAGTCAAAACTCTCCACTATGACCTGTCCATCTTGGGTGGCCCTGCACGGCATAGCTCATAGCTTCTCTGAGTTGTTCAGGCCCCTTCGCCACGACAAGGCAGTGATCCATGAAGGAAGAAGAAGGCTGATCGCCGAAGAATTGTTTTATGGTGCTGGAGGAGACTCTTGAGAGTCCCATGGACTGCAAGAAGATCAAACCTCTTCATTCTGAAGGAAATCAGCCCTGAGTGCTCACTGGAAGGACAGATCCTGAAGCTGAGGCTCCAAGACTTTGGCCACCTCATGAGAAGAGAAGACTCCCTGGAAAAGACCCTGAAGTTGGGAAAGATGGAGGGCACAAGGAGAAGGGCATGACAGAGGATGAGATGGTTGGACAGTGTTCTCGAAGCTACCAACATGAACTTGACCAAACTGCGGGAGGCAGTGGAAGACAGGAGTGCCTGGCGTGCTCTGGTCCATGGGATCACGAAGAGTCGGACACGACTAAACAACAACAACAACATGCCCCATAAACAAGAGTCAACTTTTCTGGGCTTGTGTGCAAATACACAAACCAGAGACACTCTCATGGGTACCACACAAACATACATATCACATCTAAGCACGTCCTATTCTCTGGGTTACAACAGAATGCTTCTTTCAAGCTTAACTCACCAGGAAAGTCCTCTCAGGGCACCCGTGGGCACCATCATGGCGGTCTCCGAACTGGGTGTTCCTATTGCCCTTAATTATACCCCAACTCCACCTGAGGCAGCCTCACCTTGCCTGGATCATTGCCATGATCGATTAAGGACATGACACTTAGAATCATAGAATTGTAGAGTTTGGAGGGACCCCGAGGGGACCCAGTCCAGGGGTCAGCAAACTTACTGCACCTCAGACCGGTGTCTCCAGTGCCAATTGCGCAGCGGGCCGGAGGGCGGGGGAGCGCGCGCCCATACGCATGTGCACACGCTATTTCTGGCACACTTCCAGGTCAGAGGAGCACCAGAGATAGCTTGTGTGCATGTGCACAGGCCTCCTCCGACCCGGATGTGCACCAGAAATAACGCCTGTGCATGCGCATAAGCTATTCCAGTGTTCCTCCAACCCGGAAGTGGGCAGCCGCACAGCGTAGTGCCGGTAAGAGTGGGCGGTGGCAGCGGGCATCGCTGCAGGCCAGATAAACAAGTCCCTCGGGCCTTCTCCGGCCCAGAGACCTTAGTTTGGGGACCCCTGATCCAGTCCAACCCCCTGAAATGCAGGAGTATGCAGCTGTCCCATATGGCGATCAAACCTGCAACTTTGGCATTATCACTGTTAAGTTGTGGGTGAACATATCAGACGACACAGCAATTCTTCAAACAGCTCGTTTATTCACAGGCCAGAACTGAACTGAAGTGTTCAGCCAGCCTGCTTATATAGAGCTCCAGTACAACACAACTGTAACAATTTTCCGTAACTATCCAATCCCTAAATGTCACTTTCAATCCCTTATTTGCATATGTGGACCTGAGTGAAAACTATCTACACTATCCCCCTGCTAGCCCAGGGTGAGAACTTCAGTACATAACAATCACCCCCAACTTATCCAGGCTGGCTTGAAAGACAGGCCTCTGCCTCCAAAAGCTTACAACCCAAATTTCACCAAGAGGCAGGGGGAGAGAGGCAAAGGGTAACACGGGGAAAATATGAACCCGTGCAGTTTCACGCCCGTTGTTTCTGCAGAAACCGAGGAAGAAGGGCTGAATGAAAATGTTGCAATGTAGGAGGAGAACAGCAAGCGTAGCCTGGAGCATTGAAGTCGGGCTCTTGCATTGCAACAGAGGCGCTGCCATGGGGCTGCTCTTTCCTTTGCTGTCTGGGAGCCAGGTGAAGCAAGATGTTCTGGGCCATCCTGTGGGAGGAGGCCGGACAGCAGCTCCTGCCCACGTCAGTGCTGACCTTCCAGAAAACTCAATGGGGGAAGTTTGAGAAGGGAGAACGTATTGTAGTCAATAAACTCTTTGCTGCTTCACCCGTTTTGTTCAGATTGCATTTTAAGGAGCGGGATTAAAGGTTTTAGGACCCACTTCTCACAGGGTATCTGGCTGCTTTGGGACTACAATTCCCATCATCCCTGACCGCTGGCATTGATAGCTATTCCACAGCTTCGCTCTGCCCTGGGGATCCCACCCAGGGTCACCTCATCCGCATGGCCTCTCTCCTACGCCATACTGTCTGGCTCTCCTCTAACTTCCGCAGGTTGCTTGGCCAGCAGTCAGGGACGATGGGAGTTGTAGTCCACAAAATCTGTGGGTGGGCTAGTATTGCCACTAGACAAAGTTTCAATAATTTCCGGTGAGCTGCTTTTCCAACTCGCTTGTTGGGCTCTTTATATACCGGAGAGGCTGGAAAATCAGTATACAAAATCCTTGCTATGATATTCTGTTTTTATTTATTACATTTATATCCCATCCGCAATGGTTACTGTTAAGTTGTGGGTGAACATATCAGACGACACAGCGATTCTTCAAACAGCTCTTGTTTATTCACAGGCCAGAACAGAACTGCTATATAAGCAGCCAGCCTGCTTATATAGAGCTCCACTACAACGCAACAGTAACCACTTTCTGTAACTATCCAATCACTGAACGTCACTTTCAACCCCTCATTTGCATGTGGACCTGAGTGAAAACTATCTACAGTATCCCCCTGCTGGCCCAGGGTGAGAACTTCAGTATATAACAGTTACTAGCCATGGGTATGCATTACGCCCCTGAATACAAGTTGCTGGGAACTACAAGTGAGGAAGTGTTAGTGTTGCACTCAGGTCTTGCTTACGGGTTTTGCACACGCATCTGGTTGGCTACTGTGGGCTCAGGATGCTGGACTGGGCAGGTTTTTGGCCTGATCCAACATGGCTGCCCTTATGCTAAGTGTGCAACTGATAAACCTGTCCATGGAAGAGGGAGCTTCCCTCACCCTTTGAATAATATGTTTATAGAAATGTTGTTGTTCACATTAATGACTTTCTGGTATGCGGGGTGGGTAGGCCAGGTAGTTAGTTAGCCTAAGTTAATTAACTCAGAGCTGCGGGGAGGGGCCTCCTTTTTTGCGCGGTCTAACCGCCGGCTGAGGCAACATTCCTGAGGTAAAAAGAAGCGCAAAAGGCCTGCTGGGCGGGAAACCTCGTCAGAGGCTCATTGGGCCGCCCATCCCCACCAATCCCCGCCCATTTTTCCCCTCCTGAAGAACATGACGTCAAAGAGACCCCGCCCCCTTTCCCTCCTCGTCGCTGGTAGGGAACACTTTATATCGATCGCGCCCCGCCCTTCATGACGTACACCCCCTTCAGCCAACCCGGTGCCTAATTTCAGGAGCCACCGCCCACGTCCCCGCCCAGAAGGGGCGTGTCCTCCCAGCAAAGAGAAGAGCCGCATGGGCACTGCCCCGGCACTTCCCGCGTGGCGGAGAGCGGAGCCGGGTCCGTTCAGCGGGGGATCAGGGCGGCCACGTGGAAATCGGAGCCCGCAGTGGTTTAAAGGGACTTCCCTGGGGAGGAGACCGAAGCAGCAGCAGTAACAGCAGCACGAGGAATCCACTGGATCACGCTTGGCCACCAAGGGAACCCCCCACCTGGTTCCGCGTGGCGCTTATTCCATTGTGCACCAAATCGCACCCTGATTTTGGGAGGTTTACTCGTGGGAACTTCGCTGCAGTTTCTTCCTTAAGAAATCCCTTAATTGGTGCATTTTTACCAGATCTCTTTCCATTTCCGCCTTATTTTAATTTTTTTGTGCGTGCTTTTAATTGCTCCGCGATGGCGGCGGAGAAATTCCCCGGCGCCTCCAACGGGAGCATCGGGGCTCCGGCGCACGTCGGAGTGGAGGTCCCCGAGGGCGGCGGCAAGAGCAGCCTGGGCGCGTCCCGCCTGCGGAGCTGCCTGCGGGCCAACCTGCTGGTGCTGCTGACGGTGGCCGGGGTGGTGGCGGGCGTGGTGGTGGGGCTCGGGGTGCGGCAGCTGCCGGGCGGCGGGCTGAGCCGCGTGGACATCCTGCTCTTCTCCTTCCCGGGGGAGCTGCTGCTGCGCTTGCTGAAGATGATCATCTTGCCCCTGGTGGTCTGCAGCCTGGTGGCGGGCGCCGCCAGCCTGGACCCGGCTGCCTTGGGGCGCTTGGGCGGCTGGGCGATGCTCTTCTTCCTGCTCACCACCCTGCTGGCGTCCTCCATCGGCGTCGCCCTGGCCTTCATCATCAAGCCCGGAGAGGGGGCGTCGGCCCCCAAGCTCTTCGGCGACGAGGCGGCCGTGCCCGAGGCCAAGCAAGTGGTCGACTCCTTCCTCGACCTCATCAGGTGAGCGGGGAAGGGGGATTCGGGTTTCTGCAGGCGTCGCATGCTCAGAGGCACTCTTGGAATCCTAGAGGTGGAAGGGATCCCCTGCAAAACAGGAACGCTGCGCACAACCGCCCCTGGCTGGGCTCGATCCGTCAACCTTCTGGTTAACAAAGTACAGTGGTACCTCGGGTTACATACATTTCAGGTTACATACGCTTCAGGTTACACACTCCGCTAACCTAGAAATCTGGCTCCGGCAGTGTGGCGGCAGCAGGAGGCCCCATTGGCTAAAGTGGTGCTTCAGGTTAAGAACAGTTTCAGGTTAAGTACGGACCTCCGGAACGAATTAAGTACTTAGCCCGAGGTACCACTGTATAGCTTGCACTGCATTTTATACTTTGTACAATTGCACATTTCAGCAAACCAAAGCAGTCATGTAACTCTGGAAAGGAGCAATTAATTTTAAAGGGAATATCGCCTGTACATCTATGGCCAGAAGGCAGCGACGAAAACCCAGTGCGAGGAACGGGATAGCGCTTCCCCATTGGCACTCCTGTTTGTCCAGTGTTGGTGCTGTCGTCCACCGTCCAGGAGGAACGCCGTCAAGGCTGAACCCTGGGGTTAAAGCCACACGTGGCAGGAGCAGTTAACTGCATTTTAATGTGACGTGGTTTGTTACTTGCCTCCTAGGCGGATGCCCCATGGGTAGTGTATTCTGAAAGCGGATAGTCGTGGTTGCTTTGCAGGCTGACTGGCGTGTGAATACCAAAGGCTTTTTTTAGGGCTTTGCATGTTAATCACTAGCCATAAAATCTTGACCATATAGTAGCTCGTGCACTTAACCAAGAGCCATCAAGCCTTACAGTGGGTAGCTAGTTATACAATTTGTAATTTGGATGCGTTCACGGCGCTGTCTCTTTATTGCTTAAAATGCACCAATTCTTGCTCAAATTAAGACGGGGGGGGGTAGTGAAGAGCAACCCCCTTGAGGCTCATATATGAGGTGTGCTGGAGGGGGGTGGAGCTTCTGTGACCCTTAGATCCCTGCCTAAAGCAATAGGTGCTTCCTTTGCAGGGAAGGTGGTTAAAAAAAAAGGGTACTGTATTCCAACTACAGTGGTACCTCGGGTTACATACACTTCAGGTTACATACGCTTCAGGTTACATACTCCGCTAACCCAGAAATAGTGCTTCAGGTTAAGAACTTTGCTTCAGGATGAGAACAGAAATCGTGCTCTGGCGGTGCGGCGGCAGCAGGAGGCCCCATTAGCTAAAGTGGTGCTTCAGGTTAAGAAGTTCAGGTTAAGAACGGACCTCCTGAACGAATTAAGTACTTAACCCGAGGTACCACTGTATTCCTGTTGGCCAAAATATGCATTACATTAGTGGAAACAGAAGGAGCATGTGTTCATGCGTCTCCTCCCTCTTGTTTGTGGGACATGGCCCTGGAATGCTTCTTTTTAAAAAAAAACCCTGGGATGGTGTGTCATGCGAGGACAAACATTGCCTCTCTGTCTTCTCGCATTTTCTTGGATCTGTTTATTCCACCCTCCGTGTCACGCATGCCTTTATGAGCTGGAATATAATCCGGTGTAAGAGGATCGCATTTCTCCCAACCAACGGGAAAACCTCCCTGCCCCCTCCAGAGAACCAGAGGAAAGGGCCGAAATGTCTCAATCTGGGCTAAAATACGCCCTTCCAGAAAGGCCATTGGTCACAGGGTGTTGAGTCCTCTCCCCCCCCCCCCACGATGGGGGTACAGAATGTTCTAAGATGGTCATCCTTCTCCGTCGTGGCTCTTTTCCCGCTCCCTTCCTGGCAGTTTTTGAAATAATGTCATCCTTTCTGACGAAATAAGAAATTTTGGACGGGTGCAGGAGTGGGAGGCCTGGAATGTGCCGGGATTAGGGTGGCGTCTGCATCTTCTTGCTGAATCCAGGGTGGTTGTGGTGGGCCTTCTCTGGGCAGTGTGAAAAACATGTTGGCAGGGCAGAGAGGGCCGTGGCAAGGAACAGCTGCTTCCGTAGCAGAGGGATGCGGAGACCTTGCGCCAGGTTTCTCTTCCCCTCATGCCCTCCAGATGTTTTCATCTACAACTCCCTTTGAGGCCTCAACCAGCACAGTGAGTCCAAAACATCTGGAGTAGCACCAGCTTAAGAGACTGCTGGTACACGGTTTTATTTGGTGGCAGAAAACATCTCATTATACACAATTGGCTGGTAGCCCCACTTGGAAAAGGAACTTGAAGGTATCGAATTGCCATTTCTGATTACGGGCCACTTCGGCAAAACTGGATGGCGGTCTTAGATTAGTAGTCTTCAACAGATGCAGGCCTTGTATTTGTGGACCCCATTCTTATTCTTTTAGCATACGGTGCGCCTGTTAGAAAGAAACTTGGATATATAAGCTAGGTGCTTTAGACCAAGGTTACAGTCACCAAAATGGAATGTCTAGCTGCCATTTTTGGGCGGCTCTTAAGTCTTATTTTTCCAAGGAAAGCCAGACTGCGGTTGATTCTCAGTTAAACATCTGGCTAGTTCAGAGGACAACCTTGGGTTAAGAACTTCGAGAACTTAAAAGAAGAAAAGTCACTTGATCCCGAGATAATCTACGTATATATTGGCCTATTCCTGATCTCCTCTTCTTAATAGTGACTGCTCCTGGCACCCAGGCATCTTCACTTGGTCGCAAGTACAGTGGTACCTCGGGTTAAGAACTTAATTCGTTCTGGAGGTCCATTCTTAACCTGAAACTGTGTTCTTAACCTGAGGTACCACTTTAGCTAATGGGGCTCCTTCTGCCGTGCTATTTCTGTTCTCATCCTGAGGCCAAGTTCTTAACCCAAGGTACTATTTGTGGCTTAGCGGAGTCTATAACCTGAAGCGTCTGTAACCCGAGGTACCACTTTAGTTGAAAGCCAGACGCAAAATGCGCCTGGTTTAAAAGTCCTACGTCTCCATCACTGCTGCTCATCTGCAGGTCAGGAGACCTGGTGGACTGAAGATGTCATCACCCAGAGCATGCCAGCATTGTACTGAGTGCCTTGCGGGGTTAGTCCAAAGATCCATCGACTGGTTAAATGCCTCCTAGGAGTAATAGCAATCACCCAAAAGCTCATTCTGGGCTCATTCTGCCGAAGCAGTGCTTTCTTTGAATGCGTCTCCCCTGGGGAGGCGATTCTGGTCCACGTTGCAGGTTGCCTTTTATTGAAAATGCTCTCCCCTCCTCGCCCCCCCCCGCTGCCCAGTGCTAGTTGTGCTGCTGGTTGCTGTGGCAACCATGCAACGCTCATTTCCGCAGGTTTAATGATAGCTGTGCAAAGATAATACGGGACTGTAATCTAATCTACGGGTCCTCTAGACAGATTTCCTCTTGTGGGAACCTGACAGGCAGAGGGGTGAGCAGTGTGGTGAGAGAGCCAGTGTGGTGTAGTGGTTAAGAGCGGTAGTCTCGTAATCTGGGGAACCGGGTTCGCGTCTCCGCTCCTCCACCTGCAGCTGCTGGGTGACCTTGGGCCAGTCACACTTCTTTGAAGTCTCTCAGCCCCACTCACCTCACAGAGTGTTTGTTGTGGGGGAGGAAGGGAAAGGAGAATGTTAGCCGCTTTGAGACTCCTTAAAGGGAGTGAAAGGCGGGATATCAAATCCAAACTCTTCTTCTTCTTCATCTCCTGGGATGCTTGCCGACATCAACACTCACCTGTCAGGTTGAAACCTGGCAGGTAGTTGTGGCGTGTCCAAGACCTTTGCCAACTGGGCTGGCTTTCTGTTGCAGAGGGATTTAACAACAACAAAAAGCCCCATAAATGTGCAATTGCTGCAGTCTGTTCCACCACCTCATTCTGGTCATACACAGGCCAGGTTAGAATTGTTTTGAGGAAGCACAGATCCTCAATGGAATAGAACAGTCTTTCACAAAAGGACCCAAGTTCAGTCTTTGTATCGCTGGTTAAAAATAGAATCGAGCATCAGGTGATGAAGATGTTTTCTGCCCGAGATCCCGAAGAGCTGCAATAATGGTGTGTTTGTGTCACCATCCCAGATAGAAAATTACGAGAACCACCTTATTTTTCTTTATCTGACCTGGATCTTGGAGGCACTGGAACATCCTGTCCATGCATAAAACAGATTTATTTTTTATCTCATATTCTTTATTGAAAGATAAAAGAATACATAATGACATGCGGACAGGGTAAGATAAGATACAAAAAAGAAGAAAGGAAGAAAATAAATACGTAGTAGAAAACAGAACAGCACAGCAACAAATGTATAAATTGCAAGAAAAGGTTATTGTAGTTACCCAGACCATAAGCTAATACAGTATTTATATAACAGATTTTTTGGCTACAGAGTACTTGAGAACTTGTGTAGAAATCCCTGCTCCCAGCCCAGACTACCAGCTGGAACTGACACCCCATGTGATGCATGCACAATAGATGCCCCAAGGTTTTGTGATCCTGTGGGTTGTTCTCTTCCAGTTTTCCTCGCACTGTTGCAACCTCTGGGCACCTGCCACGGCAAAGCACTTGCCCGGGCGCTGTGCCCCGGAGACACAAAGTTCCAAGGAGCTGGGGAAAGCTAAGAAATAACAAGAACCAGTTCCCCCACTTCCTCTGCCCAGACACATGCTCCCAGTCCAGGATCTGTTGCAAGACCTTTTTTCCGCATAGCTTGGAGTTGTGGGTGCCACGTAGAGATAATTTCTACCCTCTCCAAGATGGGAATCTTTAATTTCAGGGCTGGCTGGGTTTTAACACCCCCCCCCCCGGGGAGGGTATAGAAGCCTTTTTATACACCTGCCCATTACCAAATTTGGTATTCTGGTAACCCTTGCCCCCTACTTTCTTCCACCTCCTCCCCAAAAAACCCTCTCTGTGAGTGTAACAGCAACCACAAACTAGACTGTTGCAGGAGAATGTGGATTGGTTGAATTGCCTCCAGGATAATGGGATTTCAGCTCATTTTCCACAACTGTTGGTCCTTTGGGCAGGGGCAGATGGGAGCTAGAATCCAAAAGAT